ATTCCAGTAATATATCTGGAGGCTATGAAACAGAAGCTATGAAACTTAGAATCTTTAAAATCAGCAGATCCAGATAACTTGCATCAAAGAGTTTTAAAAAAGCAGGCAGAGGAACTTGCTGGACTTGTAATGTTGATTTTCAATAAGTCTTGGAGTACTGAAAAAATTCCAGAAGAATGATATAGTTGTACCAGTATTTTAAAGGGGTAAATGGTTTTGACATGGATTCTGGACAATATAATGGAGTGGCTGATAACAAAGAATTAGAGGAGGGTAACAAAAATCAACATAATTTTATATGTATAAGATTACAAGTTTGGTTGGTAAAAGCAATAGCGTTGATGTAATATACATAGACGTTGCCAAGGCATTTGATTTGGTACCCATGATATATTGATTAAAAACAATAGTGACATAAAATTAATGTGGCACTTATTACAAGATTTAAAACTGGCTCACTGATGGGTCTCAAAGTTCCCTCAAACAAAATTTTCAGACCTAGGTTCCCTCTAAGCTATGTGGCCACCCCACAGCTGCTTCATGAGCCTTACCCAATGGCTCAGGGATGCTGCTCACAGAGCTGCCTGGTTGGGGAAGGGGCATGTCTGACGAAAGAACATCAAGACTCCCCCAACCTCCCCCAGTCAGGCAATTCCATGAGCGGCAGCCCTGAGCCTCTGGACAGGGCTCATTAAGAGCTAAGGGGCCATTCGATCAGATAGCTTAGAGGAAACCTTGGTCTCAAAATGTAATCCTAAAGGGAAAATCCTCACTGAGCAGGTGTGTTTTTAGTGGGGTTCTGCTGGGATCAGTTCTTGGCCCCATGCTATTTAACATTTTGATCAATGACCTAGATTGGGGAGTGGTAAACAGTAAATAGGATAGGTCCCTGGTGGCAGGTATAAAAAGCCTGGGAAGGCTTTGGTGCAGATGCTGACCTGCAGCTGGACAACTGGCCCATGGTGCTTACTCCTTCCCCAAGATCCCCACCACCTCCCCCATGCCATCCTCCACCCCACAGCTCACTGTGTCTCTCCTCTGTGGGAGAGGGGAGTGAGGAGTGACACAGAGAGCCAATGGCTGGCGGACAGAGGAGGATTGGCTGGGTGCTGCTGGAGCCGGTGGTTCAGTGTGGGGAGACAGGGCCTTCCAGGGAGGGAGGAGCTGGTACTCAGAGAGGCTGCTGATTTGGCCCAGTTCTGGGGCCAGTCTGACTCTGGTGGCACTGGGATCAGCCCAAATCTCTTCAGCCCAGCATTCATGAAAACTTCTGGCTCAGCCTGACACTAGGGCCTGTCTGACTCTGGTGGCACTGAGGCTGGTCCCGTGCTCAGGAGGGCTGGAAGCTTGGCTTAGCGCTCAAGAGGCTTCCAGCTCAGCCTGATATTAGGGCTGATCCAGTGCTCGGAGAGACTGGAGTCTCAGCCTGGTGCTGTGGAAGGGTGGTGGGTCAGGGGAGCCGGCGGCGGTTCCTCAGCCTAATGTGATTGGGGAGACCAGCTGGGGCTCCTCTGGTTGGGGGGGGCTCCTTTGAGCTTTTTTTTTTTTTTTTTTTTAACTGGAGAAGGGTCAGGGCTCCAGCGAGCAGAGGGAGGAGCTTTAGGCAGAAAGGGCAGGATTAGCAGGTAAGCTTCCCAAAGCAGAGTCTCATCCACTATCACTAATTCAGACAAGTCTAGTCGCTTGGTTAACTGGGTACATTTTAATATGGCTAAATGTAAAATGTATACCTCAAGGAACAAAGAATGTGTGCCATACTTACGCAATGGGGGACTCTATGCAGGGAAACAGCAACTCTGAAAAAGATTATTGGGTCATGGGTTATAATTAAGAGTACAGCTAGACCAGTGGTCCCCAACCTTTTCAGGTTGTCGGGCGCCAGGGGGCGTGGCCGTTCGCCCGCAGGGCGCCAGGGGGCGGGGACACTTGCCCGCCCAGGGGCGGGGCCCCCTCCATAGCTGCATGCCCGGGGCCAGCTCCTCCCCCCCCCAAGCGCTGCACGCCCAGAGCGCGGG